TGGTGATGTATACATGCAAAGTGAAATTACTATTAGTTTAGATTGTGACCTGCAGCTGCTGATGGGGAGTTGTTTTCCCCCCCAGTACAATGAGTGCTGATGTGCATATTCAGAGGTCATGGATTCCAGCACTCCAGACAGCTCCTCAAAAACATTTCTTGGTTGTGGGGAGAGGACTCATTTTATAAAATACTAGAGGCCCCATGCACGAAATTCAAAGAGGGGGGGGGGGGAGAAGGGTCCCTCAGCCCAGGCCCTCTCGCAGTCCCGGAGCCCTAGTGTGGGGGGTGGGAGGGGGGGGAATGTCCGACGCCACAGAGGCGGGAAGGGCTCCGCAGAAGTCCAGCGGAGCCTGGCTTCTGGCTGAGCTGTGATCCCCCTGTGGGAGCGCACTGACCACCAGGGGGCAGCTCCTGTGTTGAGGGTTTGACCCCTGGTGGTCAGTGCGCATCATAGTGACCGGTTGTTCCACCGTTTGGTCGATTGGCATATTAGCCTTTTATTATATAGGGTATTATATTGGATTTTTATTGATTTCAGAGAGGAAGAGAGAGAGAAACATCAATGACAAGAGAGAATCACTGATTGACTGCCTCCTGCACGATCAGGGATCAAGCCTGCAACCTGGGCAGATACCCTGACCAGGAATCTGGTTCATAGGTCGATGCTCAACCACTGAGTCACCGTGGCCAGGCAGGAGAGGACTCTTCTAGTAGTCTTTGGCAGAGCACTTCTGCAGCCAGCTGCTTAGCTGTATCCATCCCTATATTAACCCCTTCTCCATCATAAACCCTGCCACCCCTACTGCCAGATCTAAGACCTGCCTCAGTGGAGCTGTCTGCCAGTCCTGTACCCCTTCCTCCACTGAATTGAACAAATCAAAAGTTTATCCTTAGATACTTTAAGGATCATTTGGCATGGTCCTACCCATTGGAGGTCTGCAGTAAGTTAATTAAAGAATGTTAATAATGGCTTCTCAGGGCAGCTTGCTAGATACTTTTCATATATTATTTCTACTCCTAACAACCCTGCAAAGGGGATCTTGTTACCTCCTTCTACAGATAAAGAAAATGAGGTGCTTTGAGGTTAAGTAACTTGCCCACAACAACATGAAGGGCCATATGATGGCTTTCAAACCCAGATTTCTTTAACCTTGGTTCAAGCACCTCTTGACAAAAATTAACCTGGGTCATTTTTAATTTGTTCTAATTATTAACTATTCCTTACACTGACCCAGAATATTTTAACGTCTGTCTTCTAGCTACGAAGGAAAAAAACAAAGCTTTCTTTCATTTGAAATTAGCGATTGAAAACAGCACTCCTACCCCTAGTTTTGCTTTAGTTGTTTTTGTTTTTTTTACAAAAATTACAGTTTTTAGACCTTACATACTTGGCTTCTGCACTCTTCACCAGCGGTTCCTAAGGACTTGGTTCAATTTGCCAGAATCCTAAGAATCCAGTGCCTGGAGTTGAGTACTATAGTCTAATCTGATGGGCTCAGATCAGTGAAGAATTGGAGCCTCCTTTACTGTGTGGGCTCCACTTTTAGGAAAGTAATCGAAGACTATAATTGCCCCCCCCCCCCACACACACACATCTATCAAGTCATTAGCTACCATTGCCATTGATCCAATTCATATGCAAAACCCTAAGATGCTTTCACTGTACTGCAGTCCCAACTGATAACTTGGTTTTCAGATCTAGATGCCAAACTTGATTTTGTCCCTCAGTCTTTGTTAGCTTTTGGCCCATTCTTAACTATTGTCTGAACTACTTATTTGGCATTCATCGTGTTCTGACTTGTATTGTTTTGATTTTAGAAATCCATTCACTAATCATGTTTCTTTTCTGATGCTATACATATAAAAATTAATTAGACCTGTACATATAAAAATGAATTAGACCAAGTCCTTACCCACAAGGAATCTGTCTAGTCAGAACGTATGAGGACATATCTGAGCAAGAGCTTGGTGAGCTATTTAAATGCAACTCGGTCTGGACAGCTTCAGAAATACTAATTGCCCACTGGAGTCTAGGGAGCACTGATTTTTCAGTTTGGATTATATTTTGGCTCAAATCTAGCTTCACACTAGGAAGAGTAACCTCTGGAAGATAGGATGCAAATAACTTGCCTTAAGTGTAGGTTAGCTCCACCCTCAAGAGATAACTACACAGGATGAAGGTCCAATAGGGTTTCCAATGACTGTCTTAGAAGGGAGTCAGAAAGTATGGTTCAGGGATCACAGTAGTGTTGTTTTATCTCGACATAATTATTTTGTTGTTATTTTTCTTTTTTCTAGTAGTGATTAGCAGCAAAACCGCTACAAAGAAAGGAACTTACATGCTTTGCTTGGAATAGCAAAATGAGAGATGCTGGGTGACTGTGTCCCTCTTCAACCAAGACTTAAGGCACGGGAACCCAGAGGATAGGGAATCCAGAGGATAGCGTGGAGGTTTGGAAACTGAGAAGGGAGGGAAATGGTTTGAGTCCCTGGAGTCTGCCCTAAGGAAGAGAGTTAGGAACTGTCTTGGGCCTAAGCAATAGAAAAACCCATGTTCTTAATCAGGAGACAAAAAACTGGCTATGACAATATAGCTGGGACAAGTACGAACAGTTATTAGGGGAAATGCAGAAGAGGGGTGCCTATGCTCAGCCTCAGGAGAGATTAGGAAAGATTTCAAAGAAAAAGTGGTCCTCTTAGTCCTGAGGGACAGTGTAGGTAGGGGAAGAGGGTTCTCCAAGAAGAGACCACATAGTGAGCATAATGGGTGAGGTCAGGGAACTGCAAATAGGTTGATCACTACTACAGTGAAGGGAGTTTGTTGGGACCAGGCAGGAGATGATATTGGCACATGTAGGTAGAGGAGGGTCCTTTGTACCATGCTGAGGTCTGAGTATGTGTGTGTGTCCTCAGTCAGGTTCTTGGAGACAGAAACTCTTTAGTGTCTGATACCAACAATAGGTGCTCGGTAAATGTTGTGGGACTTGTGTGCTATACAGGCTCCTTTTGGAAAGGAAACCAAACCAACTCAAATTTCATAAGGGGAAGGGTATCATAGCACAGATAATGGTTTCCCAGAAGTCCAGGAAGGCCAAACGAAGCCAGTGGAATGATAGCATTACAATTAAAGCCAATCTCTACTCTCTCTGCTCCTCTGCTCCATTCCCTTTTCCCAACTGGCTTTCTCTGCCTTTGCTCATTGTCTTTTTTTGTGTGGCTTTTCTTGTGTGGGACCTATATGCCTGCCCCAGCTCTGACTCTGTGATCGTTCATCTTTTATATGAAAAGCTGAGAAAGGAATCTGCTCATAATTTTGAGCAAGGCCCTGAGGCATAGGTTATTGGCCAGGCTAGACTGCCCTTTGGTCAGGTGCCCTTCATAGTCATGTCTTGTCCAGGATGGGGATGGGGACATTTATGGTACAGTGCATGGCCACCAGAGTATATTCTACAACTAGGGCTGTGAACTGGGCAAAGCAGGGACCCCAACACATGGCTAGCTCATGAATTCTAACATTTAATGAATGCTTTTTATGTGCTAGGCAGTGAAGATTCATGGGCAGAAATAAAAGGGGTGCTTTACAAAAGGTTTTTGTGTCTGTGTAGGGTAATATCTGAGTTATAATTTGAGTATTTCCAGTACCTTTCGTGAGAGTTACCTAATTCCATTTGACTAGATAGTCATTAGGGGCAGAAAGGTGAATTCAGAGAAGATCCATGATAAGTAAGTGGTCCAGCTCTAGACTAAACAGCATTCTAATTATCTTTGTGAACTCACTTTCTGTTTATTTTTTTGTCTGAATCCAGTGAACATTAGCTGGACCTGAAAGCGTTAGGGTAGTTTCACTGCTCTTAAAACGGCAGCTCCTAAAGTATATTTAATCATACTTATAGGCATGAAGTCATTGATTTCTTCTTTTAGTCATTTTTTTTTTCATTTATCATTTATTCAGCATCTTCCTTCCCTTGGTGCTGGATATTTAAAGATTAATAAGACACTGTTCTAAGGGATCCCTCCATCTAGTAGAAAAAACAGATGTGGGATGAATGGCACTTTAGGCTGAGGGGGAGTACTTGCAAAGAGCACAGATGTGGGAATATAGATGCTTTGGGGGGTGGTGCTAGCAGACAGGAGTCAGATTCTAAAGGGTCTTGCATTTCATTGTACTTTATCCTTCAGGGTGGGCAGCAAAGGGCAAGGGACAGTTGAGTGTTTTAAGCATGGAAATTAAATGGACTGTTTGCATTTAGAAAGATCATGCTGGTGGCTATGTGGAGGATGGATAGAGGGAGGATATAATTTGTGTTGGGAAACCATTTAGGAATTTATTGTAATAATTGAGATGATAAGAAGAGGGCCTGGACTAAAGCAGTAGCAGTTGGGAAGGATAGGAGAGATGGTCAGAACAAGAAGAATAGGTAGATAAGTTTTTTGTTTGTTTTTGCTTTGTTAATCCTCACCTGAGGATATTTTTTCCATTGATTTTTTTAAGAGAGAGGGGGAGAGACACATCGATTGGTTGCCTCCCACATGCATCTCCCAGGAGGCCAGGGAATCGAGCCTTCAACACAAGGTATTGAACCCTTGACCCTTCAGTCCGAGGACTGATGCTCCAAACACGAAGCAAAACGGGCTTAGACAGGATAGGTAAATTTTAAAACTTCATTCGAAATGCCAAAGCAGTTACTTAATCCAGAAACTCTTCTGATTATTGACTCTTTATTTTTGGTCAAGAAAATAGTTCCTTAAACTGTTTACCTCTTGCTTCTTTGTGCAGCCTGTTATGAAACTGGAAAATGATGCTTTCTGGAATTCACACATTAGCTAATGGGCACTTCATTTTTGTTTAATCTTCCTAATTGACATTCTACATTTCCTTGCCCTTCTCTCATCTCATTGCTGGTATTTTGAGTGACTTTGGGCTTTTTCCATGGTAGTTCATTTGACCTGGTGGCTTTGTTAGGTAAGCAAGAATCAGTTCAGTCATGGGATAACATTGTTTTGCCTTTCTACTTAGATTGAAAGATGATGACAGTGGTGACCATGATCAGAATGAAGAAAACAGCACACAGAAAGATGGTGAGAAGGAAAAAATGGAACGGGACAAAAGTCAGAGCAGCAGCAAGAGGAAGGTGAGTTGGGACTAGAAACTTGGTTATCTCATGGAATCTGTTTACCTGGAAGATACCAGGTTAACAATTGTACACTATTTTGTAATACCTGATTTTGTTCTTAAGAAAAAATTATTGAATCATTGGAGTTCATTTTGGGACTCAGAACTGTTCCCTTACCACAGGACCTTGAGAGAGAGGGGGAGAGACACATCGATTGGTTGCCTCCCGCATGCATCTCCCAGGAGGCCAGGGAATCGAGCCTTCAACACAAGGTATTAAACCCTTGACCCTTCAGTCCGAGGTCCGATGCTCCAAACATGAAGCAAAACCGGCTTAGACAGGAAAGGTTCCCTTATCACAGGGCCTTTACCACAGGACTGTTCCCTTACCACAGGGCCTTGCTTTTCAGCATTCTGCTAGCCTGAGGTAGGGGAGAATAACCCTGCCGTTAACAAGGCATTATTTGCTTCATAATCTGCTGCTGAGTATTTAAAATCCTGTACATCCCTTGAAATTTTAGACTCTTTAGTCAGTAATAGTCTAAACTAAAATGACTTGGAAAAGAGAAAATTTAGAGAATAGAAATAGATGGATCAACTTCTTTATTGAAAAGCGATCATTAATTGCTTTATTCTGCAATATTGAGTACCCTCCAAATACAAGCATTTCAGGGCTAAGAGGACACAAAGGTCAATGAAACTATGGATCAAGGAGCTAACATTTAATAGTGGTGATAATAATAGTAGCTGACATTTATTGAGTACTTTTTAAAACATGTTTTTATTGATTTCAGACAGGGAAGGGAGAGGAAGAGAGATGGAAACATCAGTGAGAGAATCATTGATCGGCTGCCTCCTGGATTCTGGTTTCTGGTTTCCTTAGTCAGCTGACACACTGGGAATCAAGCCCGCAACCCAGGCATGTGTCCTGACTGGGACTCGAACCCTGATCTTGGTTCATAGGTTGACGCTCAACCACTGAGCCACGCTGGCCGGGCTATTGAGTACTTCTTATGTGTCAAGCACTGTGCTAAGCACTTTACATCTATTAAATTATTTTATCCTCTCAACACCCATATGAGATGATGATTACCCATTTTTTCAGTTTAGTAGCTGAGGCACAAACAGGTTAAACAACTTGTCCTAGGTCACTAGCCAATAAGTGATAGTGTCATAGAGGAAGTGGTGCCGGACCTGGGAATATGTAGAGATAATACACAAACATAAATACTTATGAAGTAGAAAGTTACAAAAGCTATAAGAACATAGGTAAAATGTTACAGGAATTTAGAATCCATTAACTACTATAGAAATTTACTGTGTAAGCAGAATCTTGAGCACGTTGCAGGTAATTGAGCATGTCTCTTTTTTTTTAATTTTTTAAAAAATATTTTTATTGCCGAACCGGTTTGGCTCAGTGGATAGAGCGTCGGCCTGCGGACTCAAGGGTCCCAGGTTCGATTCCGGTCAAGGGCATGTACCTTGGTTGCGGGCACATCCCCAGTAGGGGGCGTGCAAGAGGCAGCTGATCGATCTCTCTCATCGATGTTTCTAACTCTCTATCCCTCTCCCTTCTTCTCTGTAAAAAATCAATAAAATATATTCCAAAAAAAAATTAAAAAATATTTTTATTGAGTTCAGACAGGAATGGAGAGAGAGAGAGAGAGATAGAAACATCAATGACGAGAGAGAATCATCAATTGGCTGCCTCCTGGCAAGGCTCATTTATCTGGTGCTTGACTCTGTGGGCTGGGGCAAGTTCTGCACGCCCCCCACTGGGGACCAAGCCCACAACCTAGGCATGTACCCTGACTGGTAATCAAACCCGTGACCCTTCAGTCCCCAGGCCGACACTCTAGCCACTGAGCCAAACCAGCTAGGGTGAGCATGTATCCTTTTTAAATTGGGGAGGTAGTAAGGGGTAATGCTATAAAATGTTTTCTCAGTCTCAGAGCATGTGATAAATGGCCAGGACTAACACACCTTTAATATACAGGCTGTTGTCCCGGGACCAGCAGAGCATCCCTTGCAGTACAACTACACTTTCTGGTACTCCAGGAGAACCCCCGGCCGACCCACCAGCTCACAGAGCTATGAACAGAATATCAAACAGATTGGCACCTTTGCTTCTGTGAGTACTTAGTGAGCCTCAGTAGTAAATTCATGCCTGTATTTGTATCATAATGTTTATTTATCCTCCTGGTAACCTCTAGGATTCTGGTTTCCTTTGTCAGCTGACCTGAGTCTCTGAGGTCAGATTTGTTCATTCTTAGGTTTCTCATTAGATATCCATAGGTAATTAGTGTGTAATTGTGGAATTGATCAGAAAGGGACAATACAAAAATACAGGTTTGTTTAAGTAGATATTTAGTGAGTCCTTACTATGTGCAAAGTGTCCAGGGGTGGGTGGAGATATAATTTTTAAAAAATTTATTTTAGAGAGGAAGGGAGAGGAGTAGAGACACATCAATTGGCTGCCTCCTGTACACACCCTCACTAGGAATCGAACCCAAGACCCTTTGGTGCATGGGAGAATGCTCCAACCAACTGAGCCATGCCAGCCAGGGCGAAAATTTTATAGTACATGGTATCTATTCTCATGAAGCTTGATGGTTAAATCAAGAGTAAAGTTCAAAAATTTCCTTTGTATTTAAGAACCTTTCATTAGGGTTTTGGATCTGTTTGTGATTGTGTATAAAATAGCATATTTTTCCTGTCTTCAGAAAGAAAAGGAAGTCTCTAATAATTGTTTTTGTGGATGTTGTCAGAACAGGGAGCCCAGGCACTGTCTTATCACCCTCATAGGTAGCTAGGTTGTGTTCCCTAAGAAGCTGTCTTATTCAACACAGATTATGTTCTTCCTATGTGCTATACATTCTATCTCTGGGCACAATCAAATGCAGGGTTTGTTATTTTCTTGAAATTATTGGGGTATCTGCCCTGTTTAAAATGCAGACACTGGAAAAGGAAACTTTAATAGGCAGTAAATGTTACAGTAAAGTAATAAGGAGGAAAGACACAGTAATAGCCACTTTATGTAACTTCCTTTGATCCTTTTGATAGCCTTTTGAGGTCAGTGATGTTATCCATATTTTACAAATGAGAAAAGTGAAACTTGGGTTAAGTATCTGATCTAAAGTCAAGTCAGTTGTAATTTACTTGACTAAGTGGAGGAACCAGTGTTGAAACTCAGGTTTGGCAGGTTATAAAAGCCCCATTCCAAAGCCCATATTCTTTCACCTTTCCAATATACCAGAATGCATGACATGAGGCTCCAGTTTTTTAAATGTTTGCGTCGTACTAGACAAGCTACATTTATTGATCCATTTATTATTGATCAGATATACTACACATATAACTGGTAATCAGGTCATCCCATTACTATACTGAATTGATATATGCTCCCTTAACACTGGTAAATTTAGGCTCTTTTGAAATATTAAAAATAGCTTGTGCACTGGTGCATATTTGGTTCAAGAAATGTTTGTTGAATGAATTCAAGGGATTAGTAGGGTTCTAAAATGAATTAATTCCTTTGCCATTAGGGAAATAAGACATAGCTAGGAATTCTAATACAGGGAGACAGAAGTGCTGTTGGGAAGCACAAGGAGGGTCCACTTACACTGTTTTTTCAAATGACCCGGGCAGCTCAAACCCATGTTGTTCAGGGGTCCTAATTGTAGTCCTATCATTTCTGAATCTATCACAAAAGTTTTATTACCTGCTATATGGGAATGGAATAACCTTACAGGTAAAATAGCAGCCTTTATTTATGAACATCTGGTTGAGCATTTGGAGGATCAAAGAAGACACTGAACTGGGGAGTAAGTTTTCATTCAGGATTCTGTTCACTTATTTTGTAGTAGTTACAAATATATGTAGCACTTTTGTTTCCCTCTTAAAGAAAGCATATGTGGAGTTATCCAGCTTGTGAAAGGAGGGTTTTGTTTCCTCTTTTGGCATATATGTTAAGTTGAATAGAGTTGGTCATGAGCATCATCTGGGGTTCATGCTTCTTCAGTACTCACTGGATGTGTGACAGTGTTTGAAGTCAGCTGTCATGTAATTCAAGGCATTAAGAAAAGCCTCACGATATTAAATCCTCACAGAGAAATAATTGCATTGTGAAATCTTTTATTAAATCCAAAGCAGTATTTCCCATTTGTCTTTAATCCTAGTATTTAACTAGTAAAAGTTCTTGAAATCAGGTGACTAAGAAGGCAGTGTTTTAAAATGGAAAGGGCATTGGACTTGGGAGTGGCAAGGCTCATTTATCTGGTGCTTGACTCTATGGGCTGGGGCAAGTTCTGAAGCCATTTTCTCAACTATAAAATGAGTAAAGTAAGGTAGTTCTGAGGTCTTTTCTGCACCTCATATTCTGAGTCTGAACACTTCTTTTATTTTTTTGTTTCTTTTTTTTTTTTTAATTGATTTTTTACAGAGAGGAAGGGAGAGGGACAGAGAGTTAGAAATATTGATGGGAGAGAAATATCGATCAGCTGCCTCCTGCACCCCCCCTACTGGGGATGTGCCCGCAACCAAGGTACATGCCCTTGACCGGAATCGAACCTTGGACCCTTCAGTCCACAGGCCGACGCTCTATCCTCTGAGCCAAACCGGTTAGGGCTATTTTTTTGTTTCAATGAAGAGTTTCAGAAATCAAAATTGCCTAAAGAGAAGGAAAAACATCTTTTAAAGTTTAATACTATTTCTTGAGCTGTCTACTTCATCTCTCATGGTTTAGATATAAGATTGTGACTGTAGATTGTAGAGAACCAAGATGGCGGCATAAGGTATACACCTGTACGTGCTGCCTCCCACAACCACACCAAAACTACAACTAAAAGACAAAGCGGCTATCATCCAGAACCCCGGGAAAGCTGGCTGAGTGGAAGTTCTACAACTAGAAAGAAAGAAAAAAGCGCATTGAGACTGGGTAGGAGGTGCGGAGGCATGCGAAACAGGCTGGCAACTGGGTGCGCTATTTTTTTCAATTGGAAGGGAGCTACAAGCTCCCGACTGCTCTGAACTCCAGTTTCCGGCGAGACTCTGGGGACCCAGACTCCTAAGGGGAGAAACTGGACTGTCTGGCATCGGGTCGGAAAGCGAGGGTGGCTTTCTCGCAGAGGTGCTCACAGGGATCATTGTTACTGCATGGGGGCGTGGGACACGGAGACCCGGAGACATGAAGACAGCTGACTGGCAGCCATCGCTGTTTGCTCCACCCTGGTGATTCCCTGAGACCCCGCTCCACCCAATTTACAACCCCACCCAAGCTGTGCGCAGAGGCTTTTGCATATGAATGGCCTGTCCTTTCGCAGCCTAACCTAACAAACTGCAGCTGGGTCAGAGAGCTCCAAAACTTTCAAACCCCAAACAAAGAGGAGAAATCTGCAGATCTCGCTGTAGCTACTGCTGGGTGGCCTCTTTGCACCTCCTTGGAGATCCAGGAGCCAGTGTACCCAGTGGTCAGATACCAGATTTTAACTCCTCACATCCATAAGTGACACACTCAAGAGGCAGACTCAGTGAGCACCAAAGCCCCACTGAAGCAAGTCCTGC